GTCCCTCCTGCTCTGTACCAGTCATGTACAGCATTAGATTACAGGCCATGGTAATCATGGTGAGTAAGAAGTAGACGACTGCTTTTACTGTATATGCACCACATGTCTACTTACAGTAAAAACAGTCGCTTACTTCTACCCACCACGAATATCATGGCCTGTACCACGTGTACTAGGGATAAGCAAAAAAAAAACGGAATTTAAATATAGTTTAGCAATTTATACTTATCTACATATATATAGAATTAAAAGTAAATTGTATGTATGTTATTATTCTCTCTTTCTCCTAAAATACTGAATCTATATAAAATTCCACATGTAAGTATCTGAAGTTCAACAGTAGGCCTATTCAAAGCCTGAATAAATTATTCCTATAACGAATGATTTGCATATTTTATATCAGAAATGATAATAAAGCATTATTAAATACCTATCTTTACGAGTAATATATATTCTACAATAATAGAAAAAGAATCATTTAATTTTGTTAAAACAATATTCGTTGGGAAAACATTTACTTGATCAGAACTTGGACAAAGTCTGTCATCATTAAAACACCTCGCCAGAGTGGATTCTTCCTCTTATCATTGTTTATGTTTCTGTTTTACTTGATTGATTTAATTTTATTTTAAAATTCTAATTTATTCCAGATCTCTGCCTTCTATTGATTCACTGTAGTTAGAATTGCCTCCCACAACTCAATTATTGGATATTCGAGCATAGTTCTTCTCTGTCTATATTGATGGGAGAGAGACGTTCTTCTATGTCTCCGGAGCTATATTGTAGCGTAGTCTTGGAATATCTTAAAGATGTCAAAGTATTTATTGATGACGTCAGTACGACTAGTCGTTAATTATCAACCAAACTATATACAACTTGAGAATATTGAACAAGCAAGCTAAGGAAAGTTTATGATGATTTTACAAATATAAAGTGGTAATCTGTTTCAAATATTTTCATTGAATAATTGAATAATAAAATATAAATTATTTCCTCGCCACAATATAGACAAACGGGGAGAAGGCTATACAGACCTGATAGCGGTCCAGAGCCTCGATTTCAGCGAGGGAGGTGTCGGGCCCCAGTCCCCCGTGGACCACGAACAGCCTGCCGTCCACCAGCGAGGCCAGGGGCATGCAGCGGAACAACTCTTCCACTAGTGGTAGAATTCTGAAGCCTTCCTTCTGTGACAGAACAGAGCATCAACGTGGGACACCAGCGAGAAATGAAGTTATATATTTCAAAAAAATAACGTATAACTATCTATATAAATAAGGTAATCTTTCCCGTCAAAATGGACGTCAAAACTAGACGCCATCTATTGACCGCCACGGCAAACTAGCGGCCTCTGGTCGGTGACAAAGCCACAACACCAGCTTTGACAAACTGAGAAGCGCCCACCTAGAGACCATGGTTTCGGGCTAATTGACCTCTTTAGTTCAGGGCATGCTTTATTCCATGTGATCCACAAGGAATCAAATAGAATCTCCACAATATACCAAAGAAGTGATTAGATGGAAAAGTGGCTAGGCCAAATCTATAGACAAAATTAAGATGAATATTTTGCCGAGAGGAAATTGATCTGTAGCGGCTCCCAAATATTAACTTTTCCTATTTTCATTATAAGTTTTAATTTGTCTAATAACTATTCAATTCAAATATTAAAATTATTCATCTTATAAATATATAATGCTTATAAAATATACTTTATTAAAATTATATGAATTATCATTAATATCATATTAATTGTTGCCATATCAATATAATAAAATAATTATACATCATTCTAAATATAAATCATAAATAATATGAAATGTAAATATTTATCTATAATATATCAAGCACATATGTCTAACATTACATAATCTAGAATTGATATTTGACCACACACACAGACATAAAAATAACTTCAACATGTAATAATACAACAATGCAACCCCTTCTGATAATTTGTATTAAATAAATGTAATTAAAGGTTTATTTTACAATAAAAAAAAAAATTAAAAAAATGGTGAGCCGGACGTGATTCGAACACGCAACCTTCTGGTCTGTAGTTATTGTTGCTGGAACTCCGTATCTAGAAATCCAACCGCGAAAAAAAAACTTTTTCTACGCTTATTGCAGTTTTGTCCGAAATCGGAAAGGCTTAAGGCCATTTTGAATATCTGTCTATAGCAGTCAAAATGTGGGTACAATTTTCAGAATGGGGTAAGGGGCCTATTAAATCAAGATGAACGTGTTCAAAGCGAGTTGATGGGAGAGGAAAAATTCCGTGTTTTGTAATTGTATGCCTGTGAATTTTGCTTTTCTGACAATCTAAACAGGACTTTGACCAATGATTTATTGTTTGATTCATTTTGGGCCAAAAGTATTTTTGAGTTATTAGTTTTCTTGTTGCACGAATTCCTGGATGAGACAAATTATGGAGAGAATTAAAAATTTGTCGTCGGAAATTTTCAGGCACGAAAGGTCTGGGATTTCCAGTAGAAATATCGCAGTAAATTAATTTATTGCAAAAAGGAACTTGTTGTCTTATTAATTTGATTGTTTGTGAAGAATTTGAATTATCAATGAGAGTTTTTAGTTCTTTGTCCTTTTCTTGAATTTCAGGGAATGCATTAAGATCTAGATTAACCTTCGTGTGATTGAAAGTTTCGATTTCAATTCTTGAAAGGGTATCAGCCACAATGTTTTCACTTCCCTTAACATAGCGTATGTCCATGGAGAATTGTGAAAGATAGTTGAGATGACGTTCTTGACGAGGTGAACGTTCAGATTTTGATGTGAAGGCATACGTTAGAGGCTTGTGGTCTGTAAAAAGCATGAATGTTTTTCCATCAAGAAAGTATGAGAAATGCTTAACAGAGAGGAATGCAGCTAGGAGTTCCCGGTCGAAGGCTGAGTATTTCGTTTCTGCTGGGGATAGCTTTTTTGAAAAAAATGAAATTGGTTCCCATGCAGTGTCATTCAGTTGTTGGAGGACACCACCAACAGCAACGTTGGAGGCATCAACCAGTACACTTAATGTAGAATTGGGTTGAGGGTAGTTTAAAAGTGTGTTTTCTGCAAGAGCATTTTTGATGTTTTGAAAAGCTTCTAATGTGTCTGAAGTCCCCCCCCCCAATTTAATGATGCATTGGGAGATTTAGTTTTTAAAAGTGAATAAAGCGGAGCTAAAATATGACTTGAATTTTTTATGAACCTGTGATAAAAATTTACAAGACCAATAAATCTTTGGAGTTGACGGGTCGAATTAGGTTGAGGAAAATCTTTAACGATTCTTATTTTCTCAGGAAAAGGTTTTATTCCTTTGTTGTCAATGATGTGTCCAAGAAATTCTAGTGAAGGTTTTCCGAAAACGCTTTTAGATATATTGACTGTTAATCCATGATCGGAAAGTCTTTTGAAGATTGTATGTAGATGTTGAATGTGATCATTTTCATTTTTACTGGCGATCAAAACGTCATCAATGTAAACGAAGACAAAATCTAGACCTTTTGTTACTTCATCCATGAATCTTTGAAATGTTTGGCTTGCGTTTTTTAAACCAAAGTTCATGCGTGTGAATTCAAATAGACCAAATGGCGTAGTTATTGCCGTTTTGGGTATGTCTTCTTGGTTAATTGGAATATGGTGGTACGCGCGCGCGCCTTCACGAGATCTATTTTGCTGAAAATTGTACAGCCATGAAGGCTTTGGGTGAAATCCTGAATGTGCGGAATGGGGTAACAATCAGGTTGGGTCACAGCATTTAGGCTTCTGTAGTCGCCACATGGTCTCCAGTCTATAGAATTTTTCTTAGGGACTAGATGTAAAGGTGATGCCCATGCTCCGTCTCCTCTCTTGCATAAACCTAGTTCCATCATGTGCTCAAATTCTGATTTGGCAATTTTAAATTTTTCTGGATTCAGCCGTCTTGGTTTGGAGAATGTTGGTTGCCCTTTTGTAGTAATATGATGAGTGACTGAATGCTTGACTGGTGTGGAATATGATGGAGGCTTAGTTAGAGAGGGATGATGAGAGAGAATGTTCAAAAATTTGTCTTCATAGCTGTTTATTGAGCACTTTGGAGAAAGTGAGTTGAAATTTGTAATTGATGCACGCTTGCGTAGCTTCGTTAAAGAATCAATTATAAACTTTCCTTTGATATCTGGAATTATTCCAAAGTGTTCCATAAAATCAGCTCCTAGAATGGCTTTGTTTGTGTCTGCTATTATGAATCTCCATTTGAAATCTCTACGAAGACCTAGATCAAGGTTAAGGAATCTTTCGCCATAAGTCTTGATAGGTGAATTGTTTGCTGCTGTGAGAGTAAATTTTGTTGGACCACGCCGTCTATCTTCAGGACGAGGAGACAGGACACTGATCTCTGCACCTGTGTCAAGGAGAAAACTAATTTTGTTGCGGTAGTCAGTGATAAATAGACGGTGGCCTTTATTATTGCTACAATCAGTAACCACCGGGCTTACTGATTGTTGTTGGAGTTTTCCTGCTGGTTCTTTGCTTTTTTGTTGAAAGTACAAGGTGAGATGCATTTTCTTGCATGGTGCTTGAATCGAAAATAATACCAGCACCAAGAGCCATTTGGATTGTACTTTCTATAACTGTTTGGGGAAGATTTTCGAGATGAAGATGAGCTTCTGGATCTTGAACGAGGTATTCTTTCTTCCTTCTTGTTAAAGTCAATTTTCAATGCTGAAATTTCCGCACGCAAAGATGCCAGTTCCTTTTCTAAAGTCGAAGTACTTGAAGATGGTGAAGAAGTAATCTCCGTCACTCTATCAGCTAAATCTGCTAGAGAGTTTAGTGATGCTTGCTCTTGCGTTGTCAGAATTATTTGGATGTTTTTAGGTAAACGTTGCATCCAGAGCATTTTTAATGTTGTGTCACTGACGGCATTGCTTTCTCCAATCAATTGTCTTAAGTGGCGTAATAATTGGCTAGGCAGTCTGTCTCCAAGTTCTTCTTGAGTCAACAATTGCTGTAGTTTTTTAAATTCGCTGTCAGCGGTACATTTAATTATGGCCTTCTTTAGCGCGTCGTATTTATTGTCTGGTGGAGGTGATATAATGAATTCACGTACCTCTATGGCAGTTGATGGAGGTAAAAGTGAAATTAGATAAGAAAATTTGGTGTCATCATTTGTAATTGGACTTGGCTTGTTCAATAAAAATTGTGATTCCAATGTTATGAACCACAATTCTGGATCGTTTGGCCAAAATTCGGGTGCTTTAATTGAATCCATTTTGAGAATATATTGTATTTAAAAATTATATGTCCTTAAGAGATATTAAAATTCTGATTATTAAATTATTAAAATTCAGAATTAAAATTTTATATTTGATTTTTTTATTTGATAAGAAAAAATATTTCAATATATTATCAAGTTATAATTTTCAAATTGTAAGTTATATATTATTTTTTAATTGCCAATTTAATGTGTATTTGAATTTATTTAATATTTATTTCTTAAAATTATATTTGATATCTGATTTGTTTTTAAGTTGAAAATTTGCCTTGAATTAAATACCAAACGATGTATGTTGTATAGTTATTATTTAATCATTACTCACCAGATGAAATTATTATTACAAATTATTTATTACACTTTATATTTATATTTTTACATCAACACGTTGTTTAGATTATACATCGTATTATTATTGTTTATGATGATGATCTATTATATATTTTAAAACACAGAATACTACATTCCCTCCTTCCTTTAGATGAAAGGAATCATGTCTTTATATCTTGATGATGGCTTGACGACTCTTCCACTCCTGGTGATCACGGGTTCCTTGGTAGTCGGCAAGGGTGGAGAAACCTCTGGTGGCAACTGGTGAAGAGCCTCGGCATCAAGTCTATCTGAAACAACTGGGTTAAATGTAGACCCTGTTCTACTTGAACTTGGTCGGTTTAAAGAAGTGTCCTTGTCTTGGTTTGAGGAATTATCATCTGTTATTTGTACATCAGAAGAGTTGAGGTGTTCAATTCTTGTTGAATCTGAACTAAGATTTTTCTGGCTCTCTTCTGGAATCAAGTCAGAAATGCCTTGATTGGTCTCTTGAGTAGGAACATGTTTCAAATGTTTAGCATTTCTATGAATTATTTTCCCATTTTTAGTGTTGACTAATTTAAAATAATTTATTGAAGTGTTTTCAAGAATGACATGATGTTCTGATCTGAAATTTGAATCAAGTTTTCCATTATTTGGATTTGCCACATAAACTAAATTTCCAATTTCAAAATTATGAGGACTAGCTTTCCGAATTATATCATTATATGTTTTCATTTTTTCTTTGTAGACCATATTGAATTCTTTGATGTTGGATTCATCTTCTTCTGCATCATTAACAAGTGAGCTTAATTTAGTTTTGATTTCTCTTGAAAATAATAGGAATGCTGGAGTCTTTCCTGTAGATCTGTTTGGAGTAGTTCGGTAAGACATTAAAATTCTGGATAAATCTTCTTTCCAATCTTTCCCTTCTTCAGAACTTGAATTAAATTGTTTCTTTAGAAATCTATGGAATCTTTCTATCTTCCCATTACTTTTTGGGTAATAGGGTGAGGCTTTGATGTGCCTGATTCCACATTCTTTTAAAAATCTTTCCATTGATGTACTTACAAACTGTAAGCCATTATCTGTTACAACTTCATGTGGATAACCATGTCTTGCAAAAATCTCCATCAATTTTTCAATAATTGTCTTGCTGGAAATGTCTTCTATTATCATTGCTTCAGGATATGAAGAATAGTAGTCGATCACTGTTAAAACATAATGATGGCCAATTGGACCAACTATGTCAATTCCAAGTTTCATCCAAGGTTTTGATGGTAACGGAACTATTTGCAATGGTTGATCATTTATCAATGGTTGATTCCTTACACAAATTGGACAGTTTCTAATCAAATTTTCAATGTCAAAGTCCATGTTTATCCAAAAATATTTTTCTCTTAACAGTTGTTTGGTTCTTGTCATTCCTTGATGTGTTTCATGTGCAATTCTCAAGACTCTCTTTATTAGTTTTGAAGGTAGCAAAATTCTACTTCCTTTTAAGATAAGATTATCAAAAATTGAGAGTTCATCTTTAAACTTATAAAAACATTTGAATTCTTCATTCAAAGGATATGGCCAAACTCCCTTTTGAACCATATCTTTCAGTTTTTGAAACAAAGGATCTTGCTCTGTACAAACTTTTATCTCTTTCAAAGACAGTGCTTGAAGCTCTTCAGAAGTGATGGATAAGACTTTATGAACATAGTTCTCCAGCCATTTTTCATCACTTGTGTTAGAAAGAGGTTGTCTTGAAAATATATCTGCAATATTTTGCTTTCAATGAATTCAATTTCAAAGTCATATATGGTTGTAATCTCCAACTCAATCTTTGAATTCTTGGAGGCAAAACAGCTCCATTTTTAGGATTCAGCATATAGATTAGAGGTTTGTGATCTGTTTTTAACACAAATTTCCTTCCCCAAATACACAGGTCTACAAAACTCAAAGTAGTTGTACCTTATAGCATATATATATCGGGATTCAGAAAAAAAACTCTGAGAGATATTTGATGCACAGGGATATTTATCACTGTGCATCAAATATCTCTCAGAGTTTTTTTTCTGAATCCCGATATATATATGCTATAAGGTACAACCTTTTTGAGTTTTGTAGACCTGTGATATAGGTGTTAAAATGTTCAATTGCCCATACACATCCCAATGTCTCTTTTTCTATTTGTGAATATCTTTTTTCAGTATCAGTTAAGGATCTGCTGGCATATGCAATGGGTCTTTTAATGCCATTTTGTTGTGTTTGTATTAATACTGCTCCAAGACCAATAGGGCTTGCATCTGTGATTAATTCAGTTGTTGAGTTCAAGTTGTAATATGCCAAGCATGGCTCTTTTGTTAGTGACTCTTCAAGATCCTGAAATGCTTTATTTGTTTTCAAATCCCAATTCCACCTAACATTTTTTCTAGTCAAATTATTTAGAGGTTCTGCCAATTTAGAAAAATTAGGTATGAATTTTCTTAAAAACCCACAAGTTCCTAAGAATGACCTTAACATCTCAATATTTTTTGGTATTGGAAAATTTAAGACTGCTTCTATTTTCCTATTATCAGGTTTAATACCTTCACTACTAACAATGTGACCTAAAATATCCAATTCTTCCATTGCAAATTTGCACTTATTCCTGTTGAGCCTAATGCCTACTTTATCAAATCTTTGTAAGACTTTTCTAAGCCTTTCTTCTAGTTCTTGTCTATCTTTGGCGTAAACTACGACATCGTCCAAGTAACAAATTACACCTTTCAAATCAAGCAAAATTGAATCCATTCCTTTCTGATATGCCTCTGGAGCACTTGATAGACCAAAAGGAACTTTACAAAATCTGTAACAACCACGGTGCGTGATGAAAGTTGTAAGGGGTCTTGATTGAGGGTCTAAGTCAACCTGCCAAAACCCTTTTTTCGCATCCAGCTTTGCAAATACTTTAGCACCTTTAAGGGCATGTAACATATTGTCAATTGTAGGAATTGGATGTCTTTCTCTCAATATTGCTTTATTCACTTCCCGAAGGTCTATGCATAGTCTAATTTCCTCACTATCCCTTTTTGGAACAACTATTATGTTAGAAACCCATTCAGAACCTTGATGCACTTCTTCAATGATTCCATTCTCTAGCATCTTATCAAGCTCTTGATTTACTGCTTCTACCATTGCATAAGGTATACGACGGCATCTCTGGGCAATGGGCCTATAGTTGTCTTTCAATGTCACTTTATGACTATAGCCTTTTATAGTTCCAAGTCCATGGAAAAGATGTTCATGTTCTTGAACAAGAGTTTCTATATTAGTAGACATTGATTCATTTACATAATTTACCCTTTTAATTATACCTAGTTCAAAACTAGCCTTGCCTCCCAACAAAGATTCAACTTTTTTATCAATCACATAAATTTCTTCTGAAATTGAATTTTCTTTCCAAGAAATCACAGCATTGAAATAACCATAACATGGAAGAGGTCTATCTTGACCATAGGCAAAAAAGGTTCGGGTGGTGTCATGTAATTTTGGCATAATTTTATGGCCATATAATTCAAGCATCTTATTATAGCTTATGAAAGTTCTATCACTCCCTGTATCAATTATCATATTTATTTCACTACCATCTATTTGCACTTTTTCTTTATTTTCAGCACCTGTATAGTAGGTATATTCATCTGAACTTTCACCTACTTCAGTCTTATTTTCTTCTTGTATGGTCTTAACTTTAGTTTGATTGAAACTTTTGTGGTTTCTATTATTATTTTGATTTGGGCGGTTCCTGCAAGCTCTAAAAAGATGTCCTAATTTATTGCAATATGAACAAGTCATTTTTTAGCACCACATTCTTGTGCTGAATGTGTATCTAATCCACAGCGATAACATTTAGGCTTTGAGGCACCTGAAAATGATGGGGTACCTTGATTAGTGAATCTACCTTTGTTGAAATTATTAGCATTATAGTGCTTTTTAGGTTTATTTTGAACTCTATTTAGTGTTTGATCATTTTGAGGTTCAAGAAGTCTAATTTCTTTTCTAGAAATTTCTAACATTCTAGCAATATCAATGGTTTTTGACAGTGTCAAATTTTCTTGTTGCAACAATTTTTCTTTAAGTTTTTTGTTGTTACATTTTTCAATTATTTGGTCTCTTATCATATCAGCTTCTAAATTCCCAAATTCACAAGATTTAGAAAGCTCTCTTAAAGAAATTAGGTAGTTGTCGATCGATTCATCATCTTTCTGGACTCTTTGTCTAAATTTAAATCTCTCAGTGACCACATTTTTATGAGGTGTGAAATATTTATCTAAAGCCATTTTAGTTTGTTCATAATTTTCCTTTTCATCTGGCAAGTTGAAAAATATACGTTGTACATTTGGCCCTAAACAATGCAATAGAGTTGCTCTCTTAATTTCATCCGATTTTTTTGAAATTCCAGATGCTATTTCAAAAATGGCATAGGATTCCATCCATTGCTTATATTCCGCAAATAAATTGCTAGCATTCATATTCATGGGTAACGGTGGCGTCAGGTTGGCTGCCATACTTGTTTTTTTTTTAGGGCTACAGTTATATTTTCAAATTCTCGTCGCCAATTTATGTTGTATAGTTATTATTTAATCATTACACTCACCAGATGAAATTATTATTACAAATTATTTATTATTTATATTTATATTTTTACATCAATACGTTGTTTAGATTATACATCGTATTATTATTGTTTATGATGATGATCTATTATATATTTTAAAACACAGAATACTACAATGTACGTTTTCGTAGTTTTTAAATATTGCGAAATATGTTATAATTTTTGTTTTAAATATAAATATTTAATATGTATTTCTTAAATATTTATAATTTGATATTATGAGTATTTTCATTTTTCACTTTTGATCGAATTGAAATTCTTGTTTGATTGCTTGCAAATGTTCGTTAAAAGTTTACCGGCTCACCATTTTGTGGGTGGCATGGAATTCTAGGCGGAGTCAGATAACAAATTATTTATTGTAAAATAAACCTTTAATTACATTTATTTAATACAAATTATCAGAAGGGGTTGCATTGTTGTATTATTACATGTTGAAGTTATTTTTTATGTCTGTGTGTGTGGTCAAATATCAATTCTAGATTATATAATGTTAGACATATGTGCTTGATATATTATAGATAAATATTTACATTTCATATTATTTATGATTTATATTTAGAGTGATGTATAATTATTTTATTATATTGATATGGCAACAATTAATATGATATTAATGTTAATTCATATAATTTTAATAAAGTATATTTTATAAGCATTATATATTTATAAGATGAATAATTTTAATATTTGAATTGAATAGTTATTAGACAAATTAAAACTTATAATGAAAATAGGAAAAGTTAATATTTGGGAGCCGCTACAGATCTATAAAAATAAAAGTTTTCTTTAGCCGTCAAAATAAACGTCAAAACTAGACGTCAATATTCAATATCCTCCCTACAAAATTTCTATCTAAGTATAATTAAGTTATAATTGCCATCTATCGATACATTATATATTTATTTTTGGCATTATGTTTCTTTATGATATAGATTATCAAAAATGATCTCTGCATACCTTACTGCAAAGATAGAGAAATATTATATTATTTTGCTAATATATATCATAAAGAAACAATGACAAAATATAAGCGCAAACTGTAAAGAAATTAAGTAGTTACATATACAAAAAAAAATTGTATATGCATTGTAGCCTTGTGTATAATTAGCACAAAAATGAGTTTTATACTTACCGGGTATTTTGCCCTTATCTCTTTAAGAAGTCCATACCTGGATAAACAAAAGTCACTTTGTCATGAAAGAACTGACATTCTGACCAATGTGATGGTAAATAGCCTATTAAATACGTTTATAACAGTATAGGAAAGTCTTGAGACAAATAGGTCGAGATTAGCATGAATAAGAGCTACAGGCAAAATTTTGGAAAAACAGATATTGACACGAAGAACAATGAAAAAACGTATATATATCGATATATTAAAGTGAAACCATCAGGCTTCTAGTTTCTTTTTAAAAAAATTAATTCAGATCTCTGAAAAACTTATCCCTGAAAGCCTGATGTTTTCACTTTAATAAGAAAAAGCTCAACTAAATGTGACTGGTAAGAGTGTGGCAATCATTTCCAATAGAATGGTTACGGGAAATGATAGTGGAGAAATCATTCTGAAAATCAGACAACAGAAAAACTTGGTGAAAATGTTCTACTAATATGCTTAGCTTATAAATGCAAGATGCAATAACGCGAGACATTAAGATATCGCTTTGTGATCATCTCCTATTTCGCATGCATTGGCTGCAGAAATAATTGTGAAATGTAGTAATGTATCGTATATGTAATGTTCCTCTCTTCGATTAAATAAATAAATATGCTTTATTAAATTAATAAACTAATTTTTATTATATATATTTTTAATGTCAAACGTACACTTTTTAAATAGATTCATAACTACAACAATAATTACAGTGCTGCCAAATCCAAACAATCAAAAATAAATTAATTAAACAGAGTATATTATAATATTATTATAAGGTATATTACAACTCCCCCGACTTCAAGCGACTTCATCCCTCCTGGGATGTCGATGCAGATAAGGTTGGATATTGGAGATGTGAGCCGTTCTTGGAGTTTTATCATCAGACTCATATTCAACATATTTGGGGTGGCCATCCATTTTGGTTACCCTTGTCACTCGATGCGGACCAGATAGCTTCCATTCCTTTCCAACCTTCTGATGTCTTACCAAAATATAATCGTCGATATTCATCTCTGGTGGCAGGGCCTTCTTACGACTGTTAAAATAAAACTTTGTTCTTTGTCGGTAGAGGTTTTGCTCAATTTGACTTTTTTCTGTTTCATAAAGAACACAGTGAAGATTAAGCTCTTTATCGGCAGGTAAAACAGGGGAAGTTTTTGTAAGTTTGAATAAAGGGGAGCAACCCAGGTAGGAGTTGTAGGATCTATTATGGTAGCGTACTGCCGCTTCTAAGGCATTTTTCCATCCACCCTTGAAGTGAGGATAGCACGAGAGAAAGGTCTTTATATCTCGTATAGCTCGTTCCGCTAAACCATTTCCTGCAGGGTGATAAGGAGAAGTAGTTATTAATCGGATGTCTTTGGAGGTTGCCCACCTAGGGAATTCTCCATACACAAATGATCTCCCTTGATCGGAGACTATAGTTCTCACTGATTTCAGATCCTCATGTTCGTTGAAATATTTTATTAGAGCACGGCCATGTTGTTTCATTGCCTTTGCTTGAACTACCCTAGTAGCCTCGTCAATAATTAGTAAAAATGTTGAATTCTTATCCTTGATGTTAGAAGGAGCCTCGGCGAAATCTACATGTACAGTATGGAAAGGTACCCTTGATTGATGGGGCAAACTCATCTTTGAAGGACGGCTCTTATACTTGAACTTGGCCCTTTGACAGATAGGACAAGAAGATACATATTTCCTTATGTCATTCTTCATACCAGGCCAAACAAAGCGTTGCTTCATTTTATAATATGTCCTCCAAAACCCCGAATGTCCTCCTGATAAGGGATCATCATGGTACATAGATAAAATTGAAGTTCGATGTTCGTGAGGGACAAAATATTTCCCGTGATCTTCTAATTTTAAAGGAATACTCTGATGTTTAACAAACAGTACGGTTTGATCGCTGGAATTTGGTGTTTCTACAGCCAATCTAGACAGCGCGTCTGCATCGCTGAGCTCCCTGCCAGAACGGTGGTTCACTCTCATTTCGAATGAGCTCAGAAACAGCTGCCACCTCGCAAGTCGATCCCGGAGATGGCCACAGGAAAGTAGCTGTGTCAATGCGCGATGATCCGTGTGGACAGCAAAAGACTTGCCTTCCAAATACCATCTGAAGTGTTTGACAGCCTTCAACACAGCAAGGCATTCTTTTTCGGTGATGGAATAATTTTGTTCAGCCTTGGAAAATGTATATGAATAATAACTAATCACTCTGAGTTGAAGTGATTTCCTTTTATTCACGTCTCTCTGGTATAGAATAGCCCCTGTTCCATAATATGAAGCATCTGTTGACATTTCATAAGGCAATGACTCATCTGGGATTGCCAGTATTGGTTTTGACGTGATGATATCAATAAGTTTTAAATAGGCCTCTTCACATTTATCAGACCACATAAAACTAGAATCTTTTTTCTTCAGGTTGTCCAACGGTCGAACTATCGTGGCATAGTTTGGTATATAGGCCCGAAAATGACCTGTAAATCCAGTAAAACATTGTAGTGACTTAAGATTATATGGGCGTTTCATGAGTTTAGCCTTTTCGATTACTTCCTCCTTCATTTGCTTCGAGTTACCGTTGATAATATTACCTAAAAGTTCTACCTCAGATACACAAATTTGGCACTTGCCCAAGTTCACTGTCATATTATATTGATTCAGTCTATTGAGAACTTTGTAGGTGAGGGAAGCACATTCTTCAAGGGTTGGGGCGCCACAACAAATGTCGTCAATGTAAACAACCACTCTGAGTTCCAATAAATCAGCCAACATCTCGCTCATAACCCTTTGAAATCTAGGAGGTGAATTTTTCCACCTGAACGGTAGTCTCTTAAACTCATAAAGTCCATCAGGTGTTACAAAAGCAGAGAACTTTCTCGTGGCTTTAGTTAGACCGACTTGCCAAAACCCATCCTTCAAATCAATTTTTGTAAAGTATCGACAACCCCCAAATTTATTAATGATTGAGTCGATTCTAGAAAAAGGAAAAGGGTCCAAAAAAGTCTCTTTATTCAACTGTCGATAGTCAATACAGAGTCGGTAGGACGAGTCCGTTTTAGGAACTAGAATACAAGGTGATGCGTACTCAGAAGTAGAAGGAGTAATAATATCCCCATCTAGCATCTCCTTGATTTTTCCAGCAGTCCATGCTCTCTTGTGATCTGACATAGGGTAAGGTTTACACGCCACGATGTTATTATTGGGCTTCAATAGAAAGTCGATCTCGTGCAATGGTAATTCCTTTTTGGAGACATTGCAAAGCTTGGGGAATATAGTGATCAGGTCATCACTGGTAAAAATAACTTCTTTTGACCGCAAAGACAAGCACTTAATCTCATCAGTCCCAAAGTTCCATTGAATTCGGAGATCCCTCATGGTGGGCCTTCCTATTAACAGTTCGAATGGCATCTCCCTCAATATTGTCGCCGTCATCATTCTCTGTTGATCGTCAACCTGAAGTTCCACCTCAATATTCTCAGTAGCTCGGACATGGCTTTCGTCAATCGTTGTTATCGTGGTCTCTGATGGATAACTTTTCCATTTATATTTGGCCAAAAGGTCTCTTCTCATTAGATTGATAGAAGAACCTGGATCCAAGAAAGCAACAAGTTTTACACCATTTATAATAACGGGCAACATAGAATCGGGACTTTTGCAAGACAAAAATAGGATCGATTTTGTCATCGGGATCGAACAACCCTCTAAATTTAGTTTTTTTGAAGAGAAGACACAGAATTATTTTGATTGTTCATTGTCTGTGATGCCTCCTCAATTTGATCAAGTTTGGCAAAATAGGCTGGCTTCTTGACTACTGTGTTGCCAGTTGTCTGGTAGGGCTTGGGTTCAAAAGGTTTTTTCTCCAAACTGGGACGGATATTTTTCAGCAGCTGAAGAAGAGTCTCTTTGTTTTCGATTTTCACAGTGGACAACTGATTCTGCATATCTGGGGGTAGCCCATGAATCACTCCAATTATCAATAGCTTTTCACTTAAGCCGGGCATCCCTAATCGCATTTTCCTTTGTTTTTGGTGGAAGTAATCGATCAGAGAGCCGCCTCGATATCTCCACTTGAACGCCCTATCATATTTGTCTATGGGGTTATCCCCAAATGAGGATACAAAATCTTCTTTCCATGTTTCCCAGCTAAAGTTGCATTCATCAGCAAGTCTGCTATCGAACCACAATTGTGCAGTTCCCCCTAGGTAGTTTCTCATACCATATATTTTGGATTGATCTTTTACCCAACCATTATTTGCACAGACATTTTCATATAGGGTTATCCAAGTGGCTGGATCTAAGTTATTACCGGAGAAATCAGGTGCTTTCATTTCGACATGTCTTGGTGCATATTCATGCTGGTTTAAACTTAAATTTTGAACTAAAGAATTAACTAGTTTTTGTTGTTCTGCTACAGTAGTTATCAATTTGCTAAAAGTGTCTTCTGTTAATAGAGATTTTGCATCTAATTCCTCCTCATCCATTACGCAAATTTGTAAATCTTCAAATGATCGATTTTTGTATATTTCAATTATTTTTGATGGAACTTTAACAAATCTATTAGAATCCTTTTCTAAATAGTAAGAAGTTAGATTCTTTCCACATTTAAACACGAGCTCGTGATAAATGGGCATTTGAAATTCTTCAGGGATAGATAGAACGTTAGCATCAGGGTTAAAGCTATAGCCAATTACCTTTTTATTCTTAAAATGCAGGATGATCGATCCTGTCGGCTGCGCCATTTTTGTAATGTTCCTCTCTCTCTTCGATTAAATAAATAAATATGCTTTATTAAATTAATAAACTAATTTTTATTATATATATTTTTAATGTCAAACGTACACTTTTTAAATAGATTCATAACTACAACAATAATTACAGTGCTGCCAAATCCAAACAATCAAAAATAAATTAATTAAACAGAGTATATTATAATATTATTATAAGGTATATTACAGATGACAAGGCCAATATTCCAGAGTAAAGTTTGGGAAAGAGGGGTGGACTTCAGCTGCCATGTGTGAGGCGTCAAAAACGGCATTCCAGCGTGGGGGGAGGACAACGGGCAGTTTGGTCACATCTGCGGCAAGTAGATGACGTGTTGTCTCCGGGTAATGTGACCGTGTGGATGATCCTGCAAGGCGGTGACAGGAGAGCCTGACATCGGAGCAACCTACAAGACGGTGTAGTCCAGGCTGGACGTGTACAGTGTGGAGCGGTACGTTTAACAAGAGTGACATCAACGGCGCCAATTGTATTCCTTCTGTTAAGTGAGACGTATAATAAAGCGATAACTTTATCTACATCCCTTCGAACTCACGTGTGTATCTTTGAGGTATTCTGATTAGACAAAGAACACGAACAGCGTCTGGGTACGACGTAACGGTATATTTGAACAGCAGGAGTGGAGTTAGGTAGATGTAGAGCCGCTAGACCTACCGGACGTTCATGGCCGGGTCCTCGTGGTTGCCCCGGTTGAGGTAGACGGAGTCTGGCCAGGCCAGCTGAGCCGCTAGGAGAGTCACCAGCACCTCCACCGAGTGGTGCCCACGGTCCACGAAGTCCCCGTTGAAGACGTAGGGGTTGGCTCGTGACGGGAGACCGTTCTGTCACAACACAACCTCTCTGCAGCACTGTTTCCCCAGGAGGTATAAGTTACTTAGGACCATAGCTTATGTCTACCGCCATTCCAAAGGAAACATCGATACATTTCCTACTTGATTGTTCCTGCCTGGAAGAAATGCAACAACAAAAACAACAAAAGGAAAGTCGTAGAAAGAAAGAGATCCTGATAAAAAAAAATTCTGATTTTTTCTACCCCCTTAGACCCTTTTTAAATTTCTGTATCACTTCTATCTTTTAGATAATAATGTGTTTTCTCTCTAAAAAATTTCTCTTCTCTGCAAACTTTTTTTTAATTATCAGCTCTTTCACTCTTTCCGCCCCTGAACCTGGGGAATTTCACCTATGTCGCAGCGTTGGTGGTTTTCTGCTTGCCTAGTGGTATCTTGCCACGGTGAACTGTCTGCTCGGTGCGGCCATTGATTAGGTCTAGAAGGCTATACTCACTTGGTCAAATAGTCGTTAGATAGTCAGTCTGACAATGTAGCAATTCAGCATATATATGTGATAATCTATGTATAGCAATATGTAACCCCACCACAATCTATGCAATGTATCGTCAAAAGATTTAATAAAAGTTAGGCTTCGCGAAAAGGGAAATAACAATTAACAGGATTGCATCATCCAGAAAGTAAAGGTCACTGCCCTGGACCCCCCCCCCCCCCCCATAAAACTTAAGTTCAAAGGCCTTCTTCTTCCTGGAAGATTGCAATCATGGCGACAATGGAGGTACTAAGCCAATCACAGTTAAGCATGACAAATCAACAACCAATCATCTTTAAGCATGACCAACTGATAGCGAATCACCAGAGAGCACGTGGAAGGATCTCCACCAATGAGAAGCCGAGAGAGTTAATGACGATGATCTCGGACAAGAAGTTAAAAAGAAGGTAGGTGACCGTGCTAGAAGCAAGGTGTGCTCAACATAGGCTCCAACCAAGGTAGTGTCCGCTCCATCATGTGAAAGGCCAAATACCTCCTCCAGTCTCATCATTCTCCCTTTCGCAAGGTCTATTTTCAATCCCATCCAGGTGTGCTCGTTATTCCCCTGTGGAAAACCACCATTCGACCAAGACTGCGCTATCAAACACCAATCCAATCAAATCCACCCAACCACACAATTCACCAGGATCCAACAGGATCCGACACAATTAAAAACCAATATCACATAGAGTCGACAGGATACAACACAATCCGACAGTAAGTCGACAGGATTCAAACGGGTTGTCACATAGAGTCGACAGGATAAACACCAATGCGACAGAGAGTCGACAGGATTCCACCAATCCTACAATGAGTCGACAGGATCTCACACGTAATCCGATATATATATATTTTTCAAAATATATTCAATTTTAAGTATGTCGCTGATGAAGAAATCTGAAAACTGCCCTAAGGTAGTACTGGCCTTTATTTCAAAGAACTTTGGAGTGATGGTGGCACTTTAAGCATATGTATAGTCACTTTCCTCTACAAATGTTTATATAGATTTTTCATTCCTGTAAACCTGTCAATCCATCTTTTAACATTCTTTTCCAGAGCCACATTACAAACCATACGTTCCAAGTTTCAACCATAGAGTATTCATCCACGAAAGTAGCCTGATAGCCAATGACCTGAAGAGCTCATTTCTATACTAAAACAATATTTCAATGAAGTTGTTGGTGATGGAGCGGTACACACCGTCGATTTTCGATTTTCACGACCTACGATCAAATCCCGCATTGAATACCTTTTTCTGCTTCACTGGCCTTCAATTTGTGAAAATTCCAATTTCACTAGTAAGTGCAAGCAATCAAACAAAATTCTGACACCTTATACTTTTAAAAGTCGAAAAGTTTTCTACATGTGCAGACATGTGGTGCACTTACAAGAAAAGGCAATCGCTAACTACCCACCATGAATTATCGTATAATTGCGATAAGTAAACAGAGAAGAAGACAGACACTTGAGAAGGTTCCAACCTTATAGAAGATGGTCAGTAGGTCCTCCAGACTGCCGTGTAGGTCCCCGCACACCGTGATCTGATGCGACACCGAGGTGGA